TTCCATAATAATGAACAACATTACGCTTAGAGGAGTTGGGTTGTGTTTTAGCAATATTATGTAACTAAAGATTTAACGTATTTTAATAATTTACTAGTTACGAATTGAGCAAGTAAAAATTTCTACTTTACCTCCTTTATAAATGCCGAGTTTATGTTTTGAGAATCTTTAAGGACTTTTAATATAATTTCCATATGACCTTTCCGATTAAGTTTTTCTCCAAAATAACTTGTAACTCTTCCTTTTATCCATATAGCAGTGAATATAGTACTAAATCCGCCCTCTGTAACTTCTTGGACATCCGTAAAATCTTCAAATGGGATCCACTCTAATCTATATCGAATATTATTTCTATGTGTTGCTTTAATTAAATTATCAATATCTAAATTTCCGCTATTAACAGGCAGGAATTTTTCAGAATAACAATCTGTACACCGGTCGAAGTTTTCACATCCGGAACATTTATCATGTTCTTTCTTAAAGCTACGTGAACCTTCCATGTTAATGCTTTATTTCGAAAAAAAAAAATTAATAAACCAACCACAGTATTTCGTGATTTAAATATTTATTTGACTAGTTTCGATTTTTCAATTTAGGAATGGTGTATGTATTACCAAATTTTTCTTAATTTAGTAATACGTACGTGTTATTCATATGTTCTAGTGACTTTCAAAAATTCCAAAAATTCCAAATGCAAAATATCTTAATTCTATTTTTTTTATTAGAATAATTGTAGTATATAACTTGTCATAGTAATAAAGATTTTGCGAATTTATATTTCTTGATACAAATCTTTTAAGTATTTTTTTATTTTTTTAATATAACGTACAGTATATTGTATTTTATAAAAAAAATCATTTCAAATAATTATATTCGATATAACATTAACATCAAAAAGGAATTTATTTTGTAATTTATTTATATCACTTATCCGAGTTTATTTTGAAATCCAAATTAAAAAATAAAATTAAGCTCTTTTTTATAATTTTTGTTTTATCACTTTTTTTATAAATTTAAAGATAAATTTTACTGTATATACTTTCTTTTTTTATTTTAATATGTTCTAAAAATTTCGAATCTAAAACCAGAAGTACAATTCCAAATAAATTTATTTTTTATTGTCAAAAACTTAAACCCCATCAATATTTGTTACAATTCCTTAATAGAATGCATTTTTGTTTGAGGAAAATTTTTTTTAGAAAGTATAATATTAAAAGATAAACACTTAAAATTAAGAAACACTACGTTTCCTGCAGAAATTAGAGTCACATCGATAATTAATAACGTTTACGTATAATTGTTCCTTTTATCATCCTCTATACGTGGATAATATGGAATCAAAGCATCTTGTGCGCCGATATATAAATTATTATATTCTTTCCAATAGATTTCGCGAACTATACGAGCAGGATGGAATAAACCGTACAAGAAATTTACAAAATGAAGTAAAAGCAAAAATACTCAATTACAAACCTGTAGGACATATTTCGAAATGTGGCGACTCTCAATCCTTCAATTGCCTCCATGACGGCATTTACGACAAAGAAATTTTTCGAAAATGTTTGGCCAAACGTAGTTCAGTAGATGAAGTAGGACATCTTCACACCCAAGACCAAAAACATCAAGAGACATATCTAAACATAAATTAAAAATAAGTTTTGAGTGCGAATATATGTCTTGTTTAAAACTTGCACCTTATTTACGGATATACAGTACAGTAGTACATGCAGTTTGCTGTGAACTAGATCACGGTCCATTAACGCATAAATGTAGTCTTTTCTCATTTCTCCAATATACTCGAACAAGAACGAAAGTGACTAAAAATATAAAAATATTTAATTTATGTAACTTCAGTCGACAAAGAAAGTAAAATACGCACCTTTAATGCACTCCACTACCATAAATCACCGGAATTTTTAATAAGCATGACCGATCATTTTTTATAGATTTCTTTTTTTTATACAAAATCTCGACATCCTATTTATTAATCCGGGTCCTATTTTTTTTAATTATAGAAATAAAAAACTATTTACATATTAATTAATAACGAGTGGTGTATCCTTTAGCTAGTGTTCCGAATGAGTCGGGTCAACCTGAAACTCAACTCAATCCCAACCCGAAATTTACATTTCGGGTTGGGTTTGGTCAAAATCGGGTTTGACTCATTTTGACTCATTTGACCTGTTTAATATTTTCGATCTGAGTTTAAAAAATAAAAAACGTTGGATCAATTTTGATTTTTTATAATTTTATTTAACGATTCTTATGACTATTAAAAATAATTTTTATTATGAAAAAAAAGCAAAAATTTATATTATTTTATTGATCAGAGATCCAGGCTATCAAAAAATGATTTGTTTTTACTTTGCCTACTTCTGTGTGCTGACCTGCTGGTGATTTTTAGATTTATGCAATAATGAATTTTTCAAAACCGATAACACTTTTCATCTATATTCGATTTAATGGAAATAGTCATTAAATTTGAAGCCGAACTTTATATTTTAAATAATTATTAACGTATATAAAATTTCATAATATATTGAGTACAGTAAATACGGAGCAAAATATAAACTTAAATCGTACAAATATTTTGATTCTAAACAGTCAACCCATTATTCCCGATATTTTAAGCACAATGCTATCTTGACTAATAACAAAGATCTAATGCCAATATAAATGAACAAATTTGTATGTTAGGTAAATATTTAGCTATAGGAAGGTATTTTAATAAACCCTTACAAATCAGCGGGCGATCTTGCAACTCGCAAAAGAACTTGATAAATTTAATAGCATGTTTGACATTACGCTCTACTTGAATAAATTGTTGCGAGTCAAATAATAATTTTCGGTGAATCAAATCATCCAACTCCTTCAATTGTGTTTTTACCATTATATGAATATTCGACTAATTATTAGGTCCGCTAGGAGGCCAATATTATTACATGTGTTTCTTTTGCTAAAGAAGATCCGGGTTTCTCCCTCCTAGCATTTTGCTGAACTTCAGTTAGGAATTACGAAATGTCATTCCTTGATACCCGTATGAAAATTTAGGAAAAAAAAACCAAACATCTACCACACGGGCTAGAAACCCGATCAGACTTGTCAAAATCAGAATTGTGTTGATAATATTTTCTTAAACAGCAATACATGATTATCTTTATCCGTCCTCCCCAAAATAATAGATATATTCGCCTGCACTCTCAGCAAAATCAATACCATCTTCAACATTTTAGAAATCATATGAGATCTATTTAGCAGCTTGCATTTTTGTTGGACATTAAATGCTCACTTTGTATAAGCATTAATGATTCAGGATCAATTACTACTTTATGTATTGCCATTGTTACTGGAGGCAAAATAGTCTTGGCAGAATCAGAAATTAGACTATATGCTAGACCCAGGTTTATCATCTTTTCCATTGCATCCTCAACCACACTCGGCATTCTCACCACGACGAATTCTTCTAATCCCTGCTTGCAAATTTCGCGTTCAATATATTGTTGCTTAGTGTTGCATGTTTAGCAAGTTTTGTACACCATCTCTGCTTCTTGTCAATATATTGACCAGATTGAATTTGTCATTATCAAAAGATTCCTTAATTCATTTTTGAGTCACAAGTATTTCTAACTGATTCAAGTAATTGCATGATATTCATCGTCTTTTCTTATGCAGTGCTGGATCTGAATAGTTATTTGATATTAGACTCAATAAAATGCAGAGATATTTTTGTAAAGTCAATATAGCAATGAACTTCGATTTACAGTAGTAGTATCTGGACCAATTGCAGTTTGGAACCCTTCATTTTCTTTATCTGAATAAACTCTATTTATCATCCTCAACTTGAGCAATGCCTAATATATCTATTATCAATGCTTCCACACCACCTTCATTGTCATCTCCCTCCTCGAACTCAAACTTCGTATTTTCCAAATTCATCTTTGCCTGAGTTCACCATCATTCGTGGCATTTTCAGAATGATAATCTGTTATTTTTTTTTCTCAAATTCACTAGTTGCACTAGTCTGTTTGGTGCAATGGTACCAATAAGCATTTCAATATTTCTTTTCTTGTCAAAATCATTGAGTAAATTATTTTTGAAAATTTACAGAATGTTGTTTGCAACACTTCAAATTATATCTTGTCTTGATTACCAAGGTTTTGATGAACGAATTCTAAGATTAATTCGTATGTATCTTCAAGTCTCTTTGTTCAGTATCTGTAAGATAATCCATCAAAATGTTCAGTAACCGCCAATACATTATAATATTCATAGATTTTTTCAATGGACCAAAAAAACAATTATATGAAAATATCAAGTAAAAACAACTCGAAAGAAAAAAAGGTATATAAAATGAATCTCACCTCTTCATCTCTTTTTCTTCACTTCTGTAGCCTTCTATGCTTTTTTATTTTTACTTGCAAATCCTTTACAGTGTCTCTTGGTGCTCTGGTACCAAAATCTTTCCAGTTGATTTTTCCTATAATGATTCTAGCTCACCAGATGGCCCATTATCTTGACATGGTAACTTTAAACAATTTGCTTGTAAGACAATATTGGAGTTAGCCAACTATAAGTTAGTACAGATATAAAAAGAGAAATACTACAAATATTAAATAAATTTCAAATCTTAAATAGTAAACTCATCGTGTTGTAATTTAGTTAATATGACTAATAGACAAGTCAAAACTAGTGATTTTTAGCAAAAAAATAAATGTTTTCAAAAAAAAATTAGTTAAGAGAAAGTTAACAAGTATTCAAAAACTGATCAGATCCAAAAATATCTCAAAAGCTAAAGCTTAATTGCCATAAGAATTACCTATAAAATAAAGATGTTTGATATCTAACAAAAAAATAAATCCATGTGATAAAACATATAACCTGAATCTGAACTTAAACTAATAATTTTCAAGTTAAGTTTGGGTTGGGTTTGAGTCAACTGACTCAAACTCAAATTACTATTAATGAGTCATATTGGGTCAAACTCAAATCTGACCGAACTGACTCATTTAAAACACTACATATATGTAATGTATATGAGTTTTACTATATATATATAACTTTAGATTTTTAATTAAATCTTATTTTATATTATTATAGAGTTTAGTGTTAAATATCACAAGTACTGTTAGACAAAATTAGGAATATTTAGATAAAAAGATTTAAAATGCTTTAACTTATTCTACTAAAATAAAAGTGAATAGCAAATTCCTTTGATTTAAAGATTAGAATAATTTTTGGGAGAGATTTTAAAAAAAGATCTGCTGCTCTTAGGCAAGAATAATGCTAACAATCAATTTTTGACTAATATTAAAGTGAATTGTTTATCTAAGATAAGTTAGTTAAACTTACTGAATTTTCATATTTATTTCTCTTCTACTCACAAATTTTACTTTACTCAATATTCCTATATAACTTCTTTAACCAAAAACCATTCAACTCTTTTAGAAACCAATCACATCATCAGTTTGGTATTGTGTGATTGGAAACTTATAAGAAGTATATATCTTGTTTACTTTTTCTGTAGCTGAAATGATTAACTAATCTGTAATCTTGATCAATAATCTTTCAGAAGATCTAATGTAACCAAAAAATTCAGGGCCAAACTCAGGTAGACAAAATTCTCTAGAAAAAACTAGAAAAAAAAGAAGCATGCTTGAGAAAAAAGAAGTAGAAAGTCAAAGAGATGATAGAGAAATAGGAGACTTCTTTATTCTTGTTACTAGTTGAAATCTGATTATTTGACAGTATGCTACTTGTCAATTATTTGGCATATAATAAATAATTTGTTAAGCATTTGTCAATCATTTGGCAATAATTTGGCATATTTCAATTTGGCAATAATTGTTGAATTGTTGATAAATGCTCAATGAATTATTTATTATATGCTGAATAATTAATAAGTGGCATACTGCTGAATAATCAGATTTCAACTAATGTGTTTTTCTGGAATCTTGAATCTTTTAGAAATCTTTAAAGAATATTTTTCTTATCAGTTTTCTTTTTAGAGAGGTGTTCTTGCCTTAGACCATTTAATTAGGTTTCTGATATTTAGTTGCAAAAATTAACAAGAAAGTGTTTTGAAAAAGAAAAATAAAACAAGTAGTGGCTGCTGCTTACTTTGCTAATTAAAAAACCAGTGTTGTTAAGAAAAGTATATAGACTTTAAAAAGATATAAAATCTTTTGAAAATGCCTGTTTTTTGGATTGGCAAAAGGATCAGTAAAAAGAGTTTTTTGGGTGGTTTTTCCTAGCAGATAAACATCATTTCTTTATTTGTTATTGTATACTAATATATATATATTGAGAAAGAAACAAC